ACATAAACATCCTGTTTTTATAGACAAAATGTTGTAGAAAAGGAAAAGCGAATAAGATACACGGAAACCAAAACAAAAAAAGCATAAATATGTATCGCGAAAATGGAACAAGTGATTCTTAACCTCACGAAAAGAAGTTCTTTCTATAAAAACAAAAAAAGAAACATAAAAAAAACCTCAATTTCTCTGTTGATTTTCAAATAATTTTATTTATATTAGACGTAGAAGGATAATTACCAGAAATAGTTATTGGACACTGACATTTTCATTGCATTCTGTCATACATTTATCATTAATAGACTTATTATATTATAAATTTAAAATCAATTTAAAAAATCATATATTTTCAAAACAACATATACATTTCCGGAGGTGACTTATACTTTACTTGAGAAATATTTATACATTTTATTATTTTATGCGCCCTAATTCACAGGTAAACCATAGAAAAAACACTAAGAAGTAATAATAATAATAATATAGAAATTCAATATCTATCTATATCTCTAAGATGAAGGATTATAATTATTTACATTATTCGGACTTTTATCCTCATCTTCATTGCCATATTCACAACATTTCGACCGTTGTACGATCCGGCCATTTTTTAATCATGGGGATTTTGGGAAAATCGCAATATGAGTACTGGTTAAAACGGTCGCTTCGACATTAAGTTTATAAATACTAGAAATTCATACACAGATGTCCTCAAGGACAGATATCCCAATGGATAAAGATGTTGGTTCGATCCAGTGATTAGACTCAAACGGTTGTGAGTTCAATACCAGGCTACAGCAGTGGTGAAGCAAAAAACTTGGAGATTTGAGTTAAATGGAAATAACTGAGACATCCGGAAGTAGAACAGTCTACCTCGGTGGACGAAATACAGGTTTCGGTTCGAAGAAGAAGGCCGGAGCTTAAAACGGCCGAAACTTCGTGAATATGGAAATGAAGATAAGGATAACAGTCCGAATAATGCAAATAATATACGAATCGATTGGCATCACTCTTACAATATTTTGCAACGCTTACACAACAGAACAATTTTGAAACGAAAAGTAAAATAAAACAAAAGAAAAAAAATGACACGGACTGAAGTCCCAATTTTTGCGCATACAACGAATGTCTATAAAAGATTATTGGAAGCCTGCCATTTATTTCATTCGGCATTAATGTCCAGCGCGGCTATCAAGAGTTGCAAATGAAATACTGAAAAGAAAGATTGCCATAACTTTACCCAAGATCAAAACACCGAAAAGCACAATCAACAGAATACCTTCAGCCATCAACTGGCACCGGCATTTTGCTGCAATTTCAAAAGTACTGCACGACAGCTATCAACATATTTCGCAAAAATATCTTCGTTTTAAGGAGACTTTTTACCAAGCCTCCGATCGAAAAAAAAAGGAACATAAAAACATCAGACAAATCTTAACGAATAAAAACGATCACGCCAGAATTCTCTTTGGTGGTTTGCATTGTTGTAGGCCAGAAAACAGGCAGAGAAAAGGAAAATTCTGTTCGTTATGCAAAAACATGAGTCAAGTCGATTCTGCCACAAAGTCCAGGAGAAACATTGCCTTTTTTTCACTATGTGCCAATCGTGCTGATTTCCATTTGATACATGGCGATCAATGTAGCAAGCGTGACTTGATTTATGTGCGTTACATGCATGAAAACTAAATAAAAGATTTAATGACCAGAGGTATGCTGACCGACATAACAATACTGCATGAAAAGTACTTGCGGAACATTTTATCAAAAACGACTGCAACTTCGACGAACACCTTAAGGTATGCTTTCTGAATAATGTTCAGACTCTTAAAACGTATGAAGAAATTTATAAATGCAAATGAATAATGCCCCACCCCGGGAGAATTAATTAAATGAGGGGTGAGTTCAAAATGATTTGTACTGAACTGTTTGATTAATTGATCTTGCTAATCAACTGATGGACAATTTGAAGATGAGCGCACGCCCCCATCTCGTTGCTCACATTTCAGTTGCATTCCATTCACGTCGGCTGAGATTCATTATCTTTATCGTATTGATGAAAAATACAACCATTTTCCTCAATACAAGCAACGATTGTATAAAGACTTGTATATATATATATATATATATATATATATATATATATATATATATATATATTTATGAATAAAAATGACAATAGGAAAACTGGTAATTACTGACGCGTTTCGTCCAATGTGGACTTTATCAAAGCAAAATACGAAAATGAAATTCATTGAACAATGTAACTAATAAAAACAAAAACAGAATGTACCTAGCAACTGTTTTAATTAGTTACTTTGTTCAGTGAATTTCATTTTCATATTTTGCTTTGATAAAATCCACATTGGACGAAACGCGTCAGCAATTACCAGTTTTCCTATTGTCATTTTTATTCATAAATATTTTCTTCTCTACTGGTTAAATCAGAGACATTTTCATATACATATATATATATATATATATATATATATATATATATATATAAAGACTTTATTCATATATATATATATATGTGTGTGTGTGTGAGTGTGTATATATATATATATATATATATGTATATACGTGTGTGTGTGTTGTGTGTATGTATATAGGTATACTTGCAGGCATTTTTAATCTATAACTTGAAGACAGATATACTGTCGATATATTGTTAAACATTGGTAAACACTGTGTCTTTTATTTTCTTTCTCTTTTCCTAAATCGCTATTCCGGTAGTGTATTAATAATAATAATAATAATAATAATAATAATAAGAAGAAGAAGAAGAAGAAGAAGAAGAAGAAGAAGAAGAAGTAATTAATAATAGATTACAAAGCACACATATAGAAAAATTGTCTCAGCCCAAAATGCAGAATCTGTGATGAATAATCAGAAACAGCTGACCATCTTGTATCAGGCCGTATGGCATTGACACCCACTGAATGAAAACATGAGAGTCTAGGCCAATATCTGTATGGAAAAATCTGCAACTTTTACAGAAAGCAAAATGTAAAAAACTGTTATGAACTCCATCCAGATTCGTTCACAAAGATAGGAGCTGTAAGAAATTCATGAGACTTTACAATGCAATCAGACAGAACAATTAAAAGCTAATCACCAAGACATAGTAATCAAATACCATAAGAATAGAATATGCTTCTTTATTGATATGGCAAACTGTAATGTATCTCTAAAGATCTTCAAAATTCTATCAAAATATAAGGACCTTGAAATCGAAATCTTAAAAATGTGGCCATTGAGGACATCAATAGTTCCAGTTTTAGTTGGAGCCCTCGGATTGATGAAAAAAATTCCACATTGAAGGGATTCCTGGTAATCCATGCCCTAAAGAAGTACAACACATTATAGTCACTCTTATAGTCAATATCTTACGAAGGACTTTATCTATTTAAAATATGTGTGATCTTAGTTTTATCTCTCAAAAGAGGCTTAGTGTTAAATGGCATGATGCCATTTCTGACCTTAGAAATGAGCATACACCAGAAAACAAATAAAGTAATAATAATAATAATAGAAATAACTACCGTTCTTTTCATAGTTAATAAAATAATCAAATGTATCTGGCGTGCCTCGGCCACGTCCTTTGTGAAATCGTATAAACGAAATTCAACAGGACATTTTTCCATAAGTGAAATATCAAAATGAATAAAATGAGTAGAAATACAAATAATACCGTAAAATGTAATAAATGTATATAAAATTTTAATATATTATGTACACTTAAGATAAAATATCATAAGAAATGTGTGTAATTAATTAGGTACCTTTCTTATGAAATTTTATCTCACTCTCAACAGTCTTATTTTAAAATTTTTTATAGTTTTATATTTTTTCATAAAGCATCATAATCGTAAAGCTGGAAAGCTAACTAGGAAAATAAAAAAAAATTAAAGCGCTGAAAGTTTTCCTAAAAAATAACGATGTAAATAATTTGGTTCATACAAGAATGTAAGAAACTCAAGAGGAATAAAAAAAGTCTTAGTTTTTTCATAAAGAATACCACATGTGATAATATCATAATTCATAATTAGTGTTAGGTTTTCCATATATACTGTTAAAGTAGCTGCATTATTATTTCCTTTAAACATTACATAAGTCTTTTAATTTCAAACTGTGATCTCAATCCTGTTTATTGACACATTGAGGTAAAAATGTTTTATTTGAAGAAATAAGCATCATTTTGATTATAAAAAACAATCAGTAAAACGATTGTTTATTTTTAACATCGCAAATACTCTAATTAGATATTAATATCTAATTAGATATTAATAACAAAAAGTCTATTATCTTTATAGAATTTGTTTAAAAAATGAATATGTTAATTATTTATACATATTAAAAAAACAGCTAAGATGAACAAAAAAAGTTCAGGAATCGAGATAAGGGGAAGACAGTTTTGAATTGAAGACCGTGAAAGCAACAGGAAAATTACCAGTTTACCTTTCCCAGGAAGAGTCATAGCGAATTATGATTTACTAATGTTAAATGAAAAAAAAAAAAGAAAGCCATATAATCGCTGGTGACATAATCGTACAATTATATTAGAATACCTCGTCATACAGAAAAAAAAAGATATTTTGTCGTAGAGTAGGATGGCAATTTTGAAAAAAAAAATACTGAAACTTTAAAAGTTTTCTTTATAATTTAAAGAAAGTAAAAGTTATTATTCATTATTTTTAGATGCTGTCTGCTGTCACGCCAAATGTCTAGATAATGACAAGTTTTGACCTCTTTAGCTCATTAGCGTCAAAGACAAAAAGGTAAACGGTAATATTATTTCAAATTAGACTCGAAAAGTAAATTTTAAAAGAAGAGCTGAAATAAAAAAAATATTTTATTTAAAATGTGTAATTCGATAACTGACAATCAAAATTAATATGAAAAAATGCTGGGAAGAATTTTAGACCAGACGAATCTGTTTGTCAAAAAATGATTATTAGAAGATTACGCATTCAATTATACACAAATCACTTATTATCCGTGGTATGTATTTATTAATTTCTTGTAAGAGAATCAATCTGATTAGCAGGCATATTTATCTGCCAGCATAACAAGTCCCCTGCTTGCAAATTTATGCATGTAAGCATTTCTTTATTTCTTACTCTCATTGTTTCTTTTTGTACACCTAACATACTTTTGGTATGTTGAAACATTGATCGAAAGATAAATTCTCTTTGTCGTTTCAGATGTTTCTCTCTCTCTCTCTATTTGTCTCTCTATCTGTCTATCTATCTGTCTATCTATCTATCCTGACCACATTAAAACTTTGAATTGCGAGTTATCATGCAGTGTTGACTCTCTGTGTATCTCTACATACACATTCACATACGCAAGCGCACACACATTCCATATATAGAAAATGTTTCCAAAATCTTGACTGATGATTGTTTTAACTATAGTGAACGTATTTAAGATGGTGTTGAACTACGGAAGCTTTCAGTATCTGTCTATATTTCTGAGATGAGGTACACTATTTACAATATTCGGAATATTGTTCTCATGTTTGTCGCGATATTTATTACAACTTTTCGGCCATTGTACGCTCCGGCCTTCTTCTTAGGTGAAGGGGTTATCAGAGAAAATACAAAGGATCTGCGGTCCATATAACATTAGGGCAAAGTTTAAAAGCTGGACGACACTTTCCAGATATCTCTCGTGAGAAAAACCCCCACCCATAGCGGAGAACAGGACTAGAAAACTGTGTGTACGTTATCCCGTGCAGCTGCGGAAAGCAATAAAATGGGGGGGGGGGGGGGCGCAGACCGCCCCCTTAAGGTAAGGCTTCAAGAACACCAAAAAGCTGTAACAAGAGGGGAAGTGAAAAAATCAGGCGCGGTTGACCACATATGGAGAGAAAAGGGAGATCACTGTCCTCTGTGGGATCAAGTTGAGATCATAGAAAAAGAACACCATTGGAAAATTCGTAAACCTAAGGAGTCAGCACATATGCTCGGCCACAAGAATCTCCTGAGCTGACCAAGCATAGAAATGAATACAATATGGGAACCAGTAATAAGGAGTACCAGAGAAAAGCAATAATAAACAAAAATCGCCATATGAGCTCTGGTAAAAATATGCAATGATAACAACAAAGATTGAGATATGAGCACTGGAAAAAAATGGTTGCTGAAAACATTAGTTTTATAATACCCAGAAATTCATACACATATGTCCTCAAGGTGGATAAAGGCGTTGGTTAAATCCAGTGAGTTCAATACCTGGTTAAGGTGGAGAGGTGAATTAACAGGAGATAACTGATAACTGACATCCATTACACATGGCACGATGACCTAGAACAGTCTACTCCAGTGAGCAAAATAAAGGCCGTAGTGTACAACGGCCGAAACATAATAAATATGGTAACAAAGATGGGGACAATAGTCCGAATAATGTAAATAGTACTGGGCTTTTAAGAATAATTTAAGAATATATATAACATCAAATATATATATATATATATATATATATATATATATATATATATATATATGTGTGTGTGTGTGTGTGTGTGTGTAATTTTATACATAACGTGAGCGCGGTCCTTTCAATCCCCTTACCCATGACCTCAGTCTTCTGACATTCTTTAATCCTTCTGCCTCCGATCATTCTTTACTTCAGCACGAAAAGAAAAATCCCTCACAAAGATCTAGCAATAAAAGTAGGATTTAAATTCTTAAATAGTTTTACTAACCACGAGCATTAAACTTACATTTTAATCCAAAGTAGACTCAAATGATACCCGCTAAAATAATTACAACGCTTCAAATTTTTCTGATTAACTTTTTCTATCAGCTGGGATGGCGAAACCGAGGCTCGTGAGTCAAACACACACACACACACACACACACAATGTTCAAGATCCAATCAAGTTAGAATGAAGTAGTTTTATGGATGTAAGGATGATGAGGAGGTCAGAAGTTAAGATGATAGGTAGAATATATTGCGGTTGAACCTAGACAGGAAGAGATTAATTTTGTCGTGATCGTGGAAACATACTCTCGGGAGTCTAACAATCAAAAGAAGAAATCTAGTAAATTGCTGGAGTTTAACACTTTTAAAGACGAATACATTTATAGAAAGTACAACCAAATATATGATAATCAATGTTTTCGCGACAATACTATTATTAACCAACTACTCATAATATATATGTCAAGTTATAACACGCAGTTATAGTGTCAGGTTTTATTTTTTTAAAAAAAGATAACATAATTGTTTTTCTTTAGGAATAAATTTCAAAATATTAATTACATAAAACACTTGATTAACAAAATACCTAGTAAACTTGGATTTTTTTTCCAAGTTACTACAGGCTATTTTTGGCGCACGTAGCCGAGTGGTTAGAATGTTCTCATTTTGACCCTGAAACACGAGTTTGATTTATCAGGAAAGAGACTTTCTTATATCGTCGGTTTGGGAAGGGGCGATCCTAGCATGCGGAAAATCTGAAAAAAATAACACGGGTTGACCCAAGCTTTGTGAGTGAAATTGGGTAACGGAGCTCTTGGTTGCCGTCGACAGCTGTGCTAGAACGAAGTTATAAGTCATCGTGGCCGAGGGCTTGAACGTGCTGTGCTTGTTTCAATTGTTGATGACGCGAGATAAAACGCTCTTTCCCAGAAACTGTAACTAATGTCTGCTCAGTATAGTTGCAGTATAAACCACAGTTGCGCTCTGTGGGTGCTGAATAAACCTGGGCAATCGTCTGCAATAGGGATTGGCTAGCCGCCCTAGTAGACAGGTATCACCGAAGACGAATGGCCAGCTATACAGGCTATTTGAGAGTTTATATTCAACAAAAAAAAAAAATCATTGATTTTATTAACATTTGGTTTGCTGTAGTTTTGGCAAAGATATATTTTAATGTTGGGCAAAATGATTTCTGCTGGATTAATACCGGCAGAAAGTGGGGGTCATCCACTTAGTTTATGATTTGCAACCTTTTCAGCAAGATGTGCAGTAAATAATATTGCTGGAAATAATTTGCAGGAAAAAGATCTACAGAAGAAAATTGGAAAGTGAATTGTAACGTGATATAAAAGTAAAAAACATACTCCATCAGCAAATTTTCAATTCACCAACAGTTTATATTTTAAGCAAGATAATGATCCAAGCATTTTGCAGGGAAAGCAAAAAAATCGGTTTCCGGCGATTAAATCAGTGTTTTCGATCAAAATTCCCGCTCGCCTATCATAAATCCGATAGAAAAACTGTTGACTTAGTTTAAACGTCGAGTTCATCCTAAAGTAATCCTAAAAAAAATATGTGGGCGTCACATGAATTACAATGGAATGGAACATAAATGTTAATTTCTGCTTGAATTTCTCAATTATTGCAAAATATTTTAAATAATGGTTACGATATTAAGTATCAAATATTGAATGCAGTTTATTGATATGTGTCCCAAAGATTTGCGCGCTACTTGCTATTTTATATGTTAATAAATGGATGTGCAAACAAGGATTTAACTATTTCTCATTTTATCTTATATTTAGTATAGACAGAATATGTCAGAGTAATATTAGTAATTATTAGTCTCTTAAAAACTTCAGCGTCCAATACATTTGAATGTGAAAAAACGTGCACACAAACACACACACACACACACACACACACACATATATATATATATATATATATATATATATATATAGATAGATAGATAGATAATATTAGTGGTAAATATATATTTATTTATGTGTGTACATGGGTATATGTATGTGTGTATGTGGGTACACGCCTATGTGTATGTATATACGTGTACATGTTATTGTGTATGTGTGTATTCGCATGTGTTTTTGAACATAGAAGTATAGGTCCTTGCTAGATTAGATAATCGTTATATTTTTTATATGTTTATATTTGATTTGTAACCTGTAGTCGATATTAAATTTGTCAAATTTTCTCAATTACAAAGCGGCCCTTTAAGTAAACGCAATTTTACTTTTCTTCGCCCCATCTCTCTCCTCCACCTCTTCTTTCCCTCCCTCTTATTCTAACATTAGATTGTCTATGGTGTGTGTATATCACCACGAAATGTATCTTTATGCATTAGACATCCGACAACATTCATATTTCTCTTACTTAAACCCCTTCCACTCACATCTCCTAAAATTCTCTCTGTTAAGGTTTGATCTCCCTCCTCCTCAAACTTACACTCTCTCTAAATTCTGTTTTTATTTCCGGAGTTGTTTTTTCTGTTTTCTTTTTGAATTTGTAGGTCTGATGAATTGGATCGTATTTACGATTCAATGGAATAAATTATGACCATGGAATATTAGTGTTTAAGTTTTTTTTATATATATATATATATATATATATATATATATATATATATATATATATATATATATATACCCAATTTTATTACTTAGGAAACTTCCTTGTCGGGTTTGTATCATTAATGTAACCATACGTTTTGGTTTTCATTTATGCTTAGCTGCCGTTAGCTGGCAATCTACGAGTCATGACCAATTTATAAAAAATAATTTTTATATCTTGGTTTCGTTTAAATTTAACTTATATATATATATATATATATATATATATATATATATATATATATATATATTTAATTGGTTTATCAGAGTAAATCAAAAACATTTTACCCCCTCTTTTTCTTTTTTCGTAAAAAGAGGGTGTATTTTGCATTATTATGTAAATAAAACGTTCACTCGCCAGTAATTTACAATCGCCTGATTAGATACATTGATACGCATCGAAACACGACTTCAATTGTGTAGCGATTTTTTAGTTGATGTTGCCACGTCTACATATGCGCACGAAACGAGAGACGCTGGTATATATATATATATATATATATATATATATATATATATTAGCGTTTTCATATTAGAAGTGATGCATCCTCTAGAACAACTGACAGAACATATGGACCTACCAGAGAGTCACCTACAATTCCAGCCCACACATTAATCATAAGCTCACAAATGTTGCTTGTTTATTTTTCTAAATGTTGCTTCATAGTAAAGAAGACTGAAGAGCAAAAAATGGATCGGCAGTTTATTGCATTAAACCACCGGTAAAACATATCTTGTGGTGAATGATCAGAGGTCAAAAGCTTCTGAACACGTTGGACGCTATGAATATCCTGCCATTGTTAAACGGAACATTTCTCAGTTAACTCACTACAACACACGTTAAACGTTGCATCTTCTGTAATCTTTCTTTAAGCTCAAAAGGAAGGATTTTCGGACATGTTTATATGTACGTTGTCCTTGTTTTGGTGTGAGGAACCCCACCCACGTCAAATTTTGTAAAAGAAGTTTTGATACACCATATA